TATATTCGCTTATTCCCTACTAAGAACGAGTATAGTCCCCCTGAAGTAGATAGAATTTGGCTTTGGGTATATTACTATAAGATCCCCATATGCCCCATATTCTATCTGCTTAAGGGGACTACAAGTTATCCTTGTTCTTTGGCCGAAAAATTGCACGTGTAGCCTCTGGAGCCGCTGTTTTTTGAGACTCGCCGGCGGAGACAACTTAAGGGCTATAGGTTTTATGGGGTTTTGTAGGGTTTATATAGGGATCGTGCAAAAGAAAATGGAAACTACCATTTAGGGTTCAGGGTTCATATTCCCCCTTAAGTAGATAGAGTATGGGGCATATGGGGATCTTATCATAATATACCCAAAGCCATATTCCATCTATTTCAGGGGGGACTATTGGTAGGAAAGCGCTCAAGTCTCGACCAACTTATATCCTACCTCCTGCAATGCTTATTGCTATATTTCATTTTTTCGGGTACTTCCGTTTTACTCGAAAATGACCCCCCAACCATCTGTGCAAAATTCCTGGCCACAGAGCTTTCTACCAGCCTGAGACGATCCCCCATGCATGTGTTAAGGTACTGCCCCACATATACCGCAGACGACATACATTCCATAATGTGATTCCAAGATTCTGCTAAGTCGGCCCAACCTCGCACAGGCGTTGATTGAGCTCCGCCACAGCGGCTGCGTTGATGAGGCCGTCGACCGCATGAAGGCGGCCATAACCTTGCGGTTTCAGGCTTACAGCAACAAGAAGATATATCAGAAATGTCTGCCGTATGGGGGGCATTTTTAAATTGCATCACACCGGCCCAATTCCTTCTTCTATAGATTCTATAGAGCTCGGGGTATAGCCAGAATGCAGCTGTTTCCTTCATAATATCATAGACTCATATAGACTCAAGGGCACTGTTGGGTGGGCACTTTAATTTTGTGGGCAGCTGTGAACCAGCCATTCCTCGCAAGTACCCACTGAGATCGTCCCTTAATGCTGTTCAAGAAGAACTATGCAAGGATTCAGAATGCCACCGAAACCCTGCACAGTCATCATATGACCAACTCCCCTCGTCAGCAGACGGTCCCGGTAGAAGCCTAGCGCGAGGCTTTTGGCGTGCCTCCGGCCGCCAAGCAGGCTGCCGAAGTCTCTGAGATCCTGTGCTTTGCCGTGCAGGACGTAGGGTCTGGGGTTTAGCTGCCTCCTCTTCTGGGTAGTCAGTAGGGAATGGATTCCTATAGTATATCATAGTAGTCCTTAATATTCCAGTCCTCCATTCCTTACTGTCTACTAGGAAGTACTCCGAAGATGAAACACCGCCCCCTACTCTCGTTCCATGTTTTCGTAGTTCTTTGAACCCATTTGAAAAGTATACCTGGAAAGTACCAAGGAAGAAACTGAGAACACCTAAGCCTGGGGTGGAGCCAAAATCTCCGCCCGAGTACGATGACTTGACAAGTATGATGTTTGGGAAATGGGGGTGGGTGTAGCATGGTGTAGCAGCCTCCATGAGAAACGTGAACAATGAGCAACATTGCGGCTCCCTTTCCGGACCGTTACCGTAGGTGAGGGCCATATTGTTCTCTGTAAAAAGAATTCTACTTCGAGTTGTCAAGAAGGTGTTGACATTTGTCGGAGTTGCTGCCTGCCCTTTCGACTTGAGTCGCAAGGCGTGCCGCCTAAAATAAAGACTTCCCAACATAATATATGATGACACCACAGCGGGAATATGCAATCTTGGGGGGCTGGGGACCATTACAAGAGGATAAAGGTATCGCAACAGGAAGACTCCCAACAAGGAAAGTGGGAGGGTTGCCAGGGTTGCTTCTAAGGCATTCTGAAGCAAACTGCCGCCCAATATTCCTGCTGCGCGACCCTAAAGCTCTCTTTGGGATTGAAGGAGGGAACCCCCTCCGTGCGTGAGCTGGACCTCAAAGCCTTGCGAGCAGTGGTGGAGCAGGGCCACTGGGCTTAGTGCGGTTTGGGGGTTTGAGGGTTTCGGGCTTAGGGTTTAGGGTGTACGAAGGGAGGTCCGGGTGCTGGATTTTATTTTTAGTGAATTCGTGGCTTCCGCCTCTGTCCGGCTGGCAAGCAGCTAGGAAAGGCAATTGCATCATGGATCCAGACACTGTACATACATCTCTGAGATCAGATTGCAAAAGCCTGCTTATGGCGCTTGTGTGAGGTCTGTGGGGCATATCAAGACTGGGGATCGGAGTCCCCTTCCAAGTAGAAACGAGTCGACTTTTCGGAGACAATGTCTTTGGCACATGCTGCAGACGCAGGAGAGCATGGTTTCCCAACAAAATCCCAAGTGCCGCCATAGCAGGGCCAGCCTGGCCCCCTTTGCGGGGCCTCTTCTTCAAACGCCACCCTCTAGGTATGGACGTCAGCGTGTGGCGGTGTGGCATACATATACGTAGTGATCAGGGATATGTCTTGGTACAACCTATGAAGAGGAAACACATTAGCGGTACTGGCCTAGACTTCAAATTCAACCCGGGTGGGCAACTATGGATGCGTCTCTGGGGGTGCACAAGGGTGGCCCTTGCCTCATCTCTGGTTTTGGAGATAGCAAAGCTCGGAATGTTGCTCGACTCAGGCTGGAAGAAGGACGCAATCGCTCAGGGCGCGGCCCTCTTCGTGAAGGCCCAACCAAACAAGATGACTGGTGGTGAATTAAGGATCTGACTTGTAAGAGTTTCGTGGCTTTGGTGTATGTGGGAATTCTTGCCATGATCAACGGTTGACAGACAATTCTCAATGGATGGACAGGAAGGTAGATGCTTCGGAGATTTTTTCATCAGGATGCAAAATCCTGCATGGGAGGTCCTTGCGCAACTACCAAGCGTGTTCCTGGCACCGGGTAGCAAACCAGCACCAGTAGCATCAGCTCTCGACCACCCAAGTGAAGAGTGCTGAGAGGTTTAAGCTTTCAACTAACTCAAGTGTGTCATCGCCGGTGCTGGATGGCACGACTGTTGTGATTACTGTCGCTGCTACTGTCGGTGCTGCATTTGTTCTTGCCAACCTCGGCTGTTATCTTGAACGCAGCTAGCCAAACTGCCCTACGTGGAGCTTCATGCCAAAAGTTTGGCTCGAAGCAACCTGTGTTCAGACGTGCAAGGAGGGGAACCGCAGACACAAGATGAACGGACAGTTTGGTGGAAGCTCCCATTGGACAGGATGGGTGAGGCTTGAAGCTGTCAGTGACATCTGCATGGCTTCCATTCGGCAAGGTTTAACAAATACGGCATTCCTCTGCTTGAGGCACGTGCAGAGCCGAGCAGCCACAACTGCATCTTGGACAGCCCAACCTTCATATCCTCTGGGAAGGGCGGGCTCCCTGACATTGAGTCTGATCATAGCTGCCAGCAGCACCTGTTCAGCCTTCCATGGATGCCTGCGATGGCTTCTCATCCTAGCGGATGCCAGTGGGGTTGCTTCAGCCCTCCAAAGGCTGGCCATGAAAGCTCTTGGGGACCTGCAACAGCCGGCCACCATGATATGCGACATGGTGTCACTTACGGCTCTTCTCAGTGGCAGCACCTGGAGAAGGCCAGCAGCGATGACAAGGATGCTTCTGAAATTGGCTAGCTTCCACACACATCCAGTGGCATGCAGATGCCTCAGCGGACTGCTCATGGCATTGCAGCTGCCGAGTTTGGGCCTACCAGCAGTTCCACTATGTTTGCTGGCTGTTGCATGTCCTGACTTCCCTCTAGCCTGGGAGGAGGCTGATGAAGCTTCTGGGCAGATCTCAGGTTCCCTGTTGGCTCAGGGTGAGATAGAGAAAGCGGACCGGGTGTACTTCAACGGGTTGGCGGGACCTCTCTCCAGCATGCACAAGATGATACTGAGCGAGGCTCCCACATGCCTACAGGGGGTGCGACTTCACTTTCACAAAGCCCGAGGGGTGTCGTTCTTTGCGGTGAAGGTCTCCAAGTCCAGTACAGACATGGGCCTGATTAAGAGAGATGCTACCTACGATGACCTGGGCGAGCCAGAGGACTTCTTTGTCGTCCTGGCTAGCCTTGGCACAGAAAATGCAAAGAAACTTCTGAGGGCAGCAGAGGCCCCTGTGGAAGATGATGCAGCGCTACTTAGGCTGGAGATGGCCCTTGAAGAAGTTCAGGCCAATGTGCGTGATCGGCGCGGGGAGACGGCAGCAATCAAAGCTTGCAGATCTGGGCATCTGAAGATGCTCCAAAGACTGCACCTGGCCAAGGCTGACTTCACACTGGCGGACAGGCAAGGTGCCATCCCTTTATTCTTGGCTTCTCAAGAGGGCCATGTGACATGCGCTAGCTTCCTCCTGGAAGTTTGCTGTCACGTGAAAGTTTGCATCAGCCCTGACGACGAGTTGCCTAAACGTTGGGTGGATTTTGTAGATCGGCCGCTTGCGAGTGATGCCACATCCCTGTACGTCGCATCCTGGAATGGTCACCGCGAGAGCGTCCAACTGCTCATTGCCTACCAGGCGAATGTGAACCTGGCTACTCGCGACAGGACAACTCCTCTTTTCATCGCTGCGCAAATGGGCTACGATGGGATTGTTGATGACTTGGTGGAGGCCAACGCAGACATTGATGCTTCAAACAACACTGGTGCCACCCCCTTGTTCGTAGCGTCACAGAATGCCAAATTGGAGATTGCTAGGAAGTTGATTGAGTGTGGAGCCGAGGTGGACAGTGAGACAACGGGCGGCGCGACTCCCTTGTACATTGCCGCTCAGAAGGGCAACTGGAAGAATGCGGAGCTTTTGGTTGAGAAGGGTGCCCTAGTGAACCAACAGGCGCAGGATGGGGCCACACCTCTGTTGATCTCTGCGCAGAATGGCAACCTCTCCACTGTGATGTTTCTTCTCTCTCTGCAGGCTGTTCAGCAGGATCTCTGCAAGCACTCTGGGGCCAGCCCAGTCTTTGTATCAGCGCAAAACAATCACCTGGAGGTCGTTAAGGCTCTCGTGCAGTGCGGCAGCGATGCAACCCTTTCCTTGAGGAGCAATGTAAGTCCGCTCTACATTGCCGCTCAGAACGGCAACTTTGAAGTGCTCAAGTACCTGCTGGAGGAGGCCCCTGACCTTCTAGACAAGCCTGCCGTTGGACAGGCAACACCGCTCTTCGTCGCTTGCCAAAATGGTCACGTCAACGTCGTTGCTGTGCTCCTACAAGAGAAAGCTCAGTACAGCTGCACAGAGGATGGTTCCACACCCTTGCTGGTGGCGGCCCAAAACGGGCACCTAGCAGTGCTCAAAGTCCTGTCGGCAGAGATGGGGCCCGCGGTTGCCTTGAACAGGGCCAAGCGCGGTGGCGCAACCGCCTTGTACATGGCTTGCAAAAATGGACATTTACATGTAGCGCGATGGCTCGTTCAGCATGGTGCAGACGTCAAAAAGAGCTTCCAAAAACTGGAAAATCCATTGTTCATTGTGCGCCAAGAAAGATACGTGGATGTGGTCCGAACGTTGACAGAGGCCGGATCGAATGTCGACACCTTCCCACTCTACATCGCATGCCATAATGGTCAGTTGCCCCACGTAGCCAAGGACGGAAATTTTGAACTGGTGGAGCAGCTCTTGGAGTCCGGAGCAGATCCAATGGCGTGGTGGAAGCTTGGAAAAGCAGCAATGGATCTTGCCAAAGAAGAGGAAGAGTGAGCTGGCAATGAAGCAGCTCCGTCATCCAGCTCCAGTGATGCGGTTCCAATAGATTGGGCCGCAATAGCCAGGAGGCGGGGCGCAAGTTGTGTCCCGGCCTCTGCAGCTTGAGTTTCTTGGTTGTTGCATGTACAGACCGGCCATGTTTGGTCCCGTGAATGCCTCTGCTCGCAAAGCCGGATCATACATGAGCTGTAGTCGAAACTCCTAGTATCCCGCTGAGTAAGCCTTCTAGTTGGAACCTTATATAGCCTTCTTAAGGAGTTTAGACCATAGCCCAGATGGTACCCGAAAGTAGGATTGGTTTTCTAATGGGTCTTTAGTCTCCACAGCGAATATGCAGAGCAAAATTCGTATGCATTTTTGGTGGCAGCTTTGAGTTGCCAGAATGATAAGTACCTGGTGCAAAAAAGCCGTGCACTCCCGGAATACACTCTCCTGCCTAGTTTTCTGGAAACGTCTTGCCTGATACTTCCCAAGCAACACACACCTCTTGCCTATATAGGATCAGGCCAAGCTTTGTGAGGTGCAGTGGCCCTTCTTTTTTAGTTGTACAGCTTCCAATGTCTCGCAGCCGCCATGCGATCATGCTGTGACAGAGTGTCAAGACGTGAGACGTACCAGACCTAAGCTGCACCGAATGGTCACGAAAATGGCTACCTGCGCGGAACCTCTGGGGCCAACCCCACATCATGAAAGGGGGCTACCTCAGACCTTTAACCTTCAAAATCGTGAACCCTAAACCGTTAAGATTAGGAACTCTTAGCCCTGAACCTTAAACCCTGAATCCTAAGCCCTAAACCCTAAACCCTTCACCCCTTGCAGGAGGTGGCCCCTGACCTGGCCTTCGATGTCCCCGGCCTGCCAAAGATCCTCGCCGAGGAGCTGAGCGTGGTGCTGCCAGAGGCCCTGCTTTTTTGGGGTTCCCCCCTCTTTTAGGGTTTAGGGATTTCCGGAGGAGTTCCCCCATCTCTTTTTAGGGCTAGTGTTTATATTACAGGGACTCTGTGGAGTTAAATGGGGGTACATGGGGATAAGTAGGGGCCCCGAAGGGTATATAGGAGTATATAGGATTGGAAAAGAAAATGCAAACGAGTATGTCGTTTCGGGTTTAGTGTTCCAGGCCAAAACTCTTGAGGCCTCACAGGGCTGGGCTGTTTGGGAGAAGCGAGCGAGACGTTGCTCCCGGTCTGTGGGCAGGGGCCAAACCAGTCTTCATGCCCATGCGGGATTTTAGGAGGATAAGGGGCCGCGGCCCCAACAAGGATCTGGAAACTTTAAACCCTAAACCCTAAACTCCAAAAGGGGACTCTAGTTCATGGACACCTTGGTACAATTTAGCAAATCACGCAGAGATGGGGGGAGCAAGGAGTTTTGCCACGCCAAAGCCGAAGCCTGTGCTTCAGGGTTTAGGATTTAGTGAAGCCACCCGGGTTTTGAAGCCCCTTGCGCAGGCAACGGATGCTGTCAACGGCTTCCAGGGATGAGCAAGGGCCGACAAAATCCCCTTGCATCTTTAAGCTTGCATGCCTTACGGCTTGCTGTTTGACACAGGCCGCCTCTTTGTAATATCTTTTCACCTGATCGATTTCCTTCGGTTGCTCAACAGCCTTACCACCTTCGATCAGGTAGCCTTACCGCTTAGTCCGGTGTCCGGTCTGGACGGCGGGAGGTGAAGCGCTTTTATGTACTTGGCCCAAGAAAGAAGAGCCCAGTCAACCCACCACGAAGTGAGAGTGCTGATGAAGATGGCCTGGCTGCTGTGAGCGCTGTGTTTCGTTTGATTCGTAGAACTCCTGCTACTGTACATTGGTGGCACTCCTTAGCCATCACGGCAGATTTTTGAGCCAAGGAAGTTCTAGCTATGAGGCAGGGTCGGCGCATTTTATATTCCGCTCACATCGAGGCTGTTACAATGGGCTGCATTGACGGCTGATTGCACAGTTTCGGGAAGAGCAGTGGAGGATTTACCCCTGCGAAGGGATTGCCAGCTAGGGCAGGCCTTCCCACAATTCCCGCCGCCGACTTATCACTGTCAAAATCTCAAAAGACCCACCAGATTGGTGCATCCCCCTTGGGGCAAGGGCAAGTACCCCTGGTGAAGGTCCGTTTGAGATCCTGGCAGCTGCCGCTAGACTGCTTCCATCCTCCATTCTCGGCCATGTAGTTGCTTCATGGAAATCTCACTCCGGGCAGGCGCATGCGGAATAGGAGCAAGAGCCAAATCCCTCACGATAGAGCTCCTGTGGTATCCATGTCTCTCCCTTTGACGCAAGCTACCTCTCCCCGAAGCAGGTTGCTGCGCTATGCACCAGGTTCAGCTAAACAGGGGCCGTGGCCACAGCAGCGGGGCCCCGTGTTCTCCCCAAATCAGCCTGAGCAGTTAAGGATCTGGAAAGAAGCCTTAAGCCCAAATTCCCAAGCTGCGGGCCCTAAATCCCGAACCCTAAGCTCTACAGACGCAAGTCTAGGCCAAAGCCCTGAATCATAAACCCTAAGTCCTAAGCCCCTTGCTTTGCAAGCCGCAAAGGAGGATGGTGCTTTTAGCTGCTAGATATGAAGCCTGCCTGCCAACTGCCACATTGAAGGGTTCACCTACGGGCACGAAGCTACCTTGGATACTTGGAATGCTGGGTTTGGGGTTTAGGGCACCAAGGTTACTTACATTTCAACGGGAAGCAGTTCTGCTCTTGGAAATTGGCCCTGGCATCCCGTTGGGGATGCCTGCCCCGTCCATGGGTTTGGATCCGGGACGGCGGCTGAACCCTGAAGATGTCGGTTTCATCACTGGGTCCTTGCGAGGTGTCCTTCCTCGAGAGTAGAATTTCAATGGCTGTTACTGTTATGGTCACTGTTTATTGTTGCCGCTACCATTAAGAACGATGCTCTATGTATCAAGTTAGTCTGGTTGTCATACGCTCTCTTTTTTTTCTCAATTGCCATCGCCATTTGTGTGGGGGTAATCGGGGGCATCATCACCCAGTACTACTACGACGTTTTCTTCCTTTGTAGCAGAAGAGATGGATTCCTCAGCAGCAACCCAGATAAAGGCCAATGAAGCAGGTTCTCCGGGCAATCTGCCTTTTTCGCTTTCCGCCGCTCGTGGAGTTTGCCCCTGAGGCGCAGAAGGAAAAAGCTGAGCGCATCCAAGGGCTGTGCGAGGAATGGGCCAGTTGTTTTGGATACCTTTTGGGGAAGCCCCTGTGGTAACCCCTATAATGGAGATTCAAATGGAAGGAAATGGAAACTGGGGTGTAGGGTTTAGGGTTAAACAGCCGGACGTAATGGAGTCCATCGTGCGAGGACACCAGGAAAGGACCAAGTGTTGACCCCTGAGGCAAGAGGCTTGTACCGCTGCCTGGCGCTTCAGGAGAATCGTAGTTAAGCTTACCATAACGGCATTTGGTACACTGCGACTCGACTTAGGCAACTCTAACCCTGAAGCTCTTGGCAAAGCATCCGGAGCTAAGGCAAGATACCAACTTCGGCATGAAGGCTGGAGCCCGACCCTGTCGAAAGCATACGTGCAGTGCTCACCATGTAGGGTACCTAGCTGTAGCCACTGTTTCTGACAGCTGCGGCGGGGTTGAGGAAGTTACCAAGCAAAGTGGTTTTTACCTATCAGACTCCAGTTTTGCTGGGCACGTGTGCTTCCTTGACAGCAGGGGTTGGCGATTCCGGTCACAGCCAGTGGTGATAAGTCAAAGGGCAACACAGCTGCAGTGACTGTTGACGACCCTTATAAAACTCTGAAACTTAAACCCTATAAGAAAACCCTAAACCTTACACCCCAGTACAAAACCCAAAACCCCTATTATACAACCCTAAACCCTAAATCCCAGTATAAAACCCTAAACCTTAAACCCCACTATAAAACCCTAAACCTAAACCATCCTAAACCCCATTATACACCCCCCTTTTTAGGAGTCCTGAGCCCTGGAGGACCTGAAGACGGTGAAGGTAATCGGAGCAGGGGCCGCCGGAGTGGTCCGCCTGGTGATGAACAAGAAGACAGGCCGGAGTGTAGGGATATATAGGGTTTAGGGTAATGGGATTAGGGTCTAGGGTTTAGGGTTTGGGGGTTAGGGATATATAGGGTTTAGGGTTTAGGCTTTGGGCATTAGGATTTAGGGTTCAAAAGGGTTTAGGGTTTGGGGATTAGGATTTAGGGTTCAAAAGGGTTTAGGGTTTAGGGATTAGGGTTGAGGAATATATAGGAGGATTACACGGATATATAGGGATGTATAGAGATATATAGGGGTTTATAGGGGTATACAGGCAGAATGGAAATAAACATGGAAGCTGCTACTTAGGGTCTAGGGATAATATACAACCATAATGGAAGACAGGCCGAAGTATGTTTCAGGGTCCCTTGAAGCGTTTATATGTTTTTTTTCGGGTTATATAAGGATTATGCAGTGGGTGTAGAGGGTTTAGGGTTTAGTGATATTATGCGCCAATAATGGAGCATCAAATGGAAAAGAAATGGCAGATTCAATGCAAACGAGGGCTCAATGGTTCTATAGCCTCCTACAGTGGATACTAAACATCCCGCATGAGCTTACGTACCTTATACCTTGTGAAGAATGGTGCTATTGTATTCTAAGGTCATGCAGGATTTTAGTATCAACAATATTAAAGAGTCCCCCACGCCTCTGAAGGCTGATGCTTGTCTCCAAGATTTTTAATGTTTAACTGGGTGGGCCCCTGGGATATTCAACATTTTCCCTGACGGCTTTAATCGGGGATCCTAAATACGAACATCTTTCAAAGGGTTTTAGCGGCCAACCCAGTTCAAGGGGGCCCTTTGGGCGGGCTCTTATTCCCATGATGGGTACACTAGCTGTGCCATTGTGGGAGATAGTTTTAGTTCTTCACATATTCAAACCCCATAAGGAACATATGATTACATGCTCAATAGTCTTCCAATAAGGAACCTAGAGTTTTCCCAAAACTTGGGCTGCCATGGACAGAAAGATAGGTATGTATGCAGGAAATATCCCACACACACTCCCCCAAACTGACATGGAATCTTAAAAAGGCGAGAGCGCTGCCCTTTTAAAGAGGGGACGACATGGGGTTCCATAATGTGGGTTTGGGAGAGGATAATGCCGTTTAGGGCTAAACACGGATATAGACACATATTAGCGTCGGCTTCCAAGATGGGCTAGGGCTAGGAGCTTCGGGCCAATTTCCTGTGATGGGCTTCTGGCTTCTGAAAAACGGGGGAGCGTCTTGATCACTAAAGCTTGGGTACTGCCCCTGCCCAATATCAGTTAGATAGTGCCATGGCACTAAGGTTGTTACAGACTGTTGCTGAGTGGCGGGGGCGTACCCAAATTCTAGTCAGGTGCATCAGAGTTTCTCGTGCTGACAGAAGATCGCTGCTCCAGTAGCAGAAGCATCCGTTCTTGAGAGCCCTCATGACAACAACTATACATTCCAAATAGAGCCGTCGCATAACGTGGGGGAAAAATTCATTGTTAGGGTTGTGGGTGGGTTTTGCTGCTGGTGGTGGGGGCGCAAATACGGTTGCTTGCCCAAGGTTGACTGTACGTTGGTGGGATGCCTTAGTGTACAGCAAAAGCTGGGGCGCGCCGCTGTGGGAAGCTCCCCAAGATGGCGCCAGAACGAAGATTGAGGTAGACTTGGTGTAGCCCCCATGGCCTCCACATTGTCATATGATAAACCCCTAGTATCCCCCATAATGACCCTTATAATGCTCCTCTATATAGTCAAGTCCCCTATGAGGAGTTTAGACTACACCTCTCATGCCCCCAAACAGTCCGTCTGTAAGCCGTGTACACAGAGGCGGGAGGGATCAGACATGCCTACTGGGCGAGGGTGTGCCATGACTTCAGCACCCAGCGTTGCCATAACGCAGCTTAACCGACATCTCAAAAGGGCAAGCCCAAATTAGAAAGGATTTTGGCAACTCCGACCCCCAAAATTAGGACCCAATCATCGTCATATGATAGTTGTAGACAGCTATAGAAGTCGTACTTTGTGCGTTGGGGTTACAAAAATCCTCTTGTTATCAAAGCCCCAGACCTCCCAGTTGAAGCCCAAGCCCACGAGGACATTTCTCAAGCTAGAGGTGTCCCAGGGTCCCTGCATATCTTCCAAAAGATGTGAAGCCCCCACAAACTCGTAGGGATACCAACAAATGGGTTCCAAATTGAAACTCGCATGTTGAAGCTTGAATTCTTGCCAGGCATGAGGCAGCTTGTCTGCACACTTGATTGCTCGGGGATGTTCAGGGCTCCGCGGGCTATGCCGTATCCCAGAATCTGGAGTGACCCTCACAAGGGCTATTCAAGGAGTGGGCATTTATGACGTCCACTGCAGGTCTGGCATGTTCATGTCTGGCAGAAAGGAGACGCCAAAGGAGATTTGTTCTACGAGGCTAAGAACTTCCCGGTCAAACGCCCAGGTATGCGCTGAAGAGAGTGCGGAAGAACGGCGGGAAGATCCCTGTCGAAGTCAAGCGTAACTTGTCTGCAGCCGTTGTTTAGGGTTAAGTGCTTTGGGTGCAGGTTTAGGGTCCGGGTTTTGAAGCTGGCGCAGGGGCCAAGACACTATGAATTTAAGTGACGCGCGAAGTGTGCCCTGAAACCCTGGGCACCTGTCAAGTTCAGTCTAGTTTGTAATTTGCCCTGATTCTCCGGGGAGGTTGCAGAACAGGTGCTGCTCAGACCTTTCCAAAAATTGAGGCTACTAATTCGGGGCCCTAGGCACTCGGTGATGGCACCGATGTTTTCCTTTGTTGAAGGGTCCCTCGACGAAGCCTGCGGCGACACCCAGTGCATAGCAGCAAGAGAGGTTGCAATAATTTACTGAAACATAAAGAATCTCCTGAGACAGCTCTTCAACCCCCTGATACAGTTGCCTTCAGAGCTTGCTACTGCAGGTGAGTGCGAGCTGTTGAAAGCTCAAGAGCACCCCTTTATCATGCACCTCGGCAAGCCTGAAGTGAGACCATTATCAAGGGACACCAGGGAATGAACGGGGCGTTCGAATTATGATAGGGCTATATAGAGCTAAACAGGGTTATTCTGGGGTTATATAGGGATATATATATATAGGGGGTTATGAAAGGGTTATCTGAAGGGTAACTTGGGGTTGATATGCTGGTGTAGGCATCATTCCCGACAACGAATCCCGGAAACAACGACGTACCCGTGTGGCTTGGGTGAGGCTATTGCTGAGGACTCTTCACAATATGGCCCCTGAGGGTCCTTACAATTTGGGGATATCTGGGGATGACAGCTCAAGGTGGTATGAAGGCCTTTGAAGACTGGGGCCTTGTTTTTTTGATGCATGAAAGCCCTTTTGTTTTCCAGACACGAGCACCCCTCATGACTTCAAGCAAGCGGTCTTGACTCTGCGAGTTGCTGCTTCATCCCAGGAGACTCGTGCAGACTTTCGAGACCAACAAGAGTGTACCTATGCCTCAAGAGCCGGCAGAGTTTGGTTTTGGAATGTCAGGTTGGGCTTCAAGGTTTGAACAGGTGGCAGTACGTGTCACTTCGCGGGGTATTCCAGAGCAGGGACTTCAAATCTTACCTGGCGTTGCTACCATCAATGGCGCTTATGCATTTCAAGCAGAACCATGCTTCCACCTGGATTGAGATGTGGTTGTGTGTGTAGTAGCCAGGTAGAAGCAGAAGCTCTTCATGGTGGTTTAAGACAGGATAGGTCTCCGCTATTCCGGTTCTCCGCCACGCGCAAGGGAATCCAGGAAAAGGGTTCGGGCCCTTGGCACAGTTGCATGCCGACAACGAAGTCGGCACTGGACCAGCTGAACTATGCTCCAACGTTTCTCAGGGGAACCGTACACCCCAAACCCAAATCCATAAGAAACCCAAACCCTAAACCCCAACAACTTAGGTTTATATCCTCACTGAGCTGATCACTGGTGGCGAGCTACACGGAGCAATCCGTGAGATCCCCACAGTGCTATCCAGGCCCTGGACTTCCAAAGGGCAGATCATTGGACCGAAAAAAGGGATTATGTAGGGGCATATTGGGAAATACGGGATTATGTAGGGGTATATAGGTTTGTGGGTTTATTAGGGATATTACATCCAAAATGGATAATCACATTGGAAAATGTCGCGGAAACTGGGATTATCTAGGGTTGGGGATTCCCGAAATTAGGGGTGGTGCCTTTATAATGGAGGTTCCTATAGGAAGGATTATCGCATTTTGGCTTATTTCGGGGTCTATTTTGGGTCCCTTGATTTTGGGAAACGGCCACGTGACACTTATGATAGTGATGAAGGATGGGCACTGGCAGTATTGAGCATGACTGTTGCAAAAAACAGTGGCGAGAACGAGAAGCCCTAATTCCCATACACACATAATTCGTACACATATACATACATGCATATACGTATGCACATATGCATATATGCATATGGCTCTAAACTGGGGTCCCCACCCATTCTTTTGCTCTGTCAGGGCACAGGCGCAGTTCTACACCGGCTGCCTCGTCATTGTGCTCGAGGCGGGCTTCACCAGTATATGTCTGAATAATAGCAGTAGTAATAGTAATAAACATAATTTCAGTAATAGTTGTATAGTAATAGTACTCTTGAGAAGTATGAAAAGGACACTGCGGTCCAGGAAACAGGAGACAAGCTTACTTGACTTAGCTAATTCAAGCTCGATCTTTTGCTTTGAAGACGCAGGGAAACAATCAGCAAAGGCATATCAATTTTATCCAACATATCAGGCTCTGGAATTTTTAGCTGAGCCTGACAGCATCCGACAGCATCCTAACACGACCCTCCTTCTACGTTTGCAGGTCTGGATAGAACTAGGGCCAGCGGGATCCTGTATTCTGTCATTTGAAGCACTTATGCCCTACGGACGATAACAGGGGAAAAGAAAGCCAACCTGCAAATAAACAGCCCTAAAACCTGAGCAGTTGAATTGCGTTGTCTTGCAACATTCGGTGCAAGCCGCACGACCAAATCCTGGCTAATGACGCAGTGAGCTACACAGAATCCTGCAGGAGCTCTGTGAGAAGAACATCGTATACCGAGCACCTTGGTAGCTGCAGGAAGTGTGTGAGCGTGATCTGTGGGGGACCCCGATATAGACCCCCAAATTCTATAATCGTTATTATGGGAACCCCCCAAAAAAGCCCGTTTGAGGCCTCCAGTGCATCTTACGTTCATTGAATGTAATCTTCATGGGTAGCAAGTGTGATAATTACACTTGTCAGGGTTAGGCTAGGGTTTACGATATTAAGATTGCTGACAGCGGTCATTGTTATGCTTCCCCTTCTTTCACCATGGCTATGTACCACATGGGCATCCTCTTAAATCTGCCTTAGGGCTGAGGTTTTGGGGTTTAGGGTTAAGATTTCGAGCCTAGATGCAAAAAAAGGTTTAGGGTTCGTGGGTTAGTACAGATCCTGGTCTGGGGCCGCGAGACTTGCTGTTATCAACTGGTCTTCGAACGCCGTCTGTTAGTTTCGTTAGGCTAGGGCCTAGATTGGTGTTTGTGCTGTAAGGGCTAGATGAATCAGATGGCCATGCTTGAGCTTGAGCAACCCCTAGCTTCGTCCGAATAGATGTGTATATATGTATGTATATGAAAGTTTTTTCATCCGGTCAAATGCGCACCCAGCCTTTGTTTTATGTGCGCTGTTGCAGATGCAGAAGCTGCGGTCAACACCATAAGCCCCAAACCCTAAACGATTGCCGCCAAACCCCTATGAGTTATAGACCCTAAACCCTGAATAGCAGTTTCCATTTCATTTTCCATTTTACTTTCCATTTGATTCTCCATTATTCTTACCTTCATGGATCCCAATATAGCCCCAATATATCCCCAACAACCTTAGAACCTGAACCCCAAACCCCAAATCCTAAATCGCAGTTTCCATGTTCTTTTCCATTATCCCTATGTAACCCCTATATAACCCCTATATAACCCCTACATAACCACTAAACCCTAAACCCCTTGGAACCTGGCCTCAACTTCAACCCTTTCCCAAGGACCTGAAGCCGGAGAATGTCATGCTGGACGCTCAAGGAGCTGAGCGCAATGCATTCTAGATTTGGTTTAGGGCTTAGGGTTTAGGGCTGAGGTTTTAGGGTCTTGTAATGTTGTAGTTTACCAAAATAAGGGGGACCCCCATCTAGACCCCACTACATGATAATTATCTTTCACTATGGGGACCCGCAAAAGGGTACCACTTTCAGTTTCCATTCTGCCGCAGGCAGTTAAACTGAATTATTTCCAACCTGCGAGCATCAGAGTCATAATGCTCAGCTCAAGTTCGGTTGTTGATGACCTGTCTCTGTTCAACCGAACATGGTGCCCCGCTCATTTTCAGCCCTCCTAAGCCCTGACCACTTCCTCTGCACTGTCCCCGTCCTGCAAGTTCCCTGCTTGGATAAGGGCTTGAAGATGACAGGATACCTCAAACTCATCGACTTCGGCATCGCGAAGAAGCTAGAGGAGGGAAAGAGCCGAACTTTCACTATGTGGCTTGGCTCCATTGCCGCTAAAAACACCCCAGAAAGACATGAGCATACAAACGGTAATTAATCACCCCCATCCCGAAATACCAGCTGCTTTCCCTATTTGTTCAAAGGGGGTAAGGAGGGTGTTATGTATTGAGGAAAAGGATTAGTAGCATAGCATTCCTAGCAATTTCCTGCAAACGCCATCCCGTCTCATTTTGTTTTCCAAGTGCTTTGTCATCTTTGCCTAGCAAAGTCTTTCCTGTTTTTGTGAGGCTTGCTCAAATCCTGCGCTGATTCTTGGTCAAACCCTCTGCAAAGCAGCCTGCCAACTTACTCAGGATCGGGACTCCTCATTACATGGCCCCCGAGATTATGCGAGGACACGGCTATGGCACTGAGGCCGGGCAACTGCATTTCTAAAAAATGCCAGGCTGAGCGACTCCTGTCACTAATATGGGATTCCCCGAGTTGTTTTTCCATCCACGCACAAGAGCCCGGAGAGCCCAATACTTCCGAAGGAACAGAACATACCCGACTGGCACGGGGATCCCCAAATCTGATTGAGGGGGTATTCCCTATTCCAGAGGCCTTGGGCATCCTGAGTCTCACATGAGTAGTAATTTATTTGGGGGTAATGGTACCCAATAAAGAGTAAGATTATATCCCCCTTTTGGGGTATAGTATTTTTTTGTAAGGAATATAATCTTACTAGGTTCAACCACCCCAAAAAGACGCTTCTCACATGATGTGCAAAGTGAGCATCTCCGCAGGTAGACCTTTGGTCACTTGGTGTTATCCTTTTCGAGTTCGTTTGCGGTGGCCCGGCTGAAGGAACCCTGAGAATTTCGCACAATAACCGCTTGCAGACTTTTTGCCGAGTCCTTCTAATGAGCTAGTGTCTACCATATGGGCTACAGTCTAAACTCCCCAAAACAGGGTTATCATTTGGAGTATTCTAGGGCTTACTAAGGGGGATACTAGGAGTTTAGACTATAGCTCATATCTCGATAGGATGTAGATGCCTGTGGTGCAAGTCGGGGGCTCCTTTTCAAGAACTTCCAGTTTGACTTGATCGATTCATCAATCAGATGCTGGTACACTAGGTGTCCCCCAGGCAGGAACAACCCAGTTAATAAGAGGCAGTTTCTCATAGTCCCTTATTCTTGCTGATAGTCATTATGCCTACCTGATGTCTCCGTATGTGCATACTCGTATGGAGGGCACAGGGTTCATGAACTGTACATCCCGGACTCTGAGTACTTTGAAACATGATACGTCGTGGTGTTGTGAAGAATGCAAGAGTGATTTTCAGATATACTCCAGCTGATGCATGGGTGTTTCTCAGATTGTTCTCTGTACGCTCTGAGCTAGAGTTTCCTCACAATCCCAACATCTCTCCAGGATCCCTAGGGGTAGCACTGTTTTTGAGAAACCTCCCTGCTGGAGTCAGTTGCAGTCGCTAAGGCTACCTGCCGTTTGCTGACGAGCTCGACGACCCCACAGAGGTCTGCACTGCCGTGCAACTTGGCAGAGTGTCAACCTGAAATAGCTTCATTGCAGACAAGTTCTACCAAACCGGGTTAGCAGCTTCAAGGAACGGATTCTGCGAGAATGATAGCCAGACCCTTGCAAGAGCACTGCAAGATCATGCTCAGCGAATTTTAAATGCACTCGACAAAAATCGTTTGTCAACACTCAAGCACCGCTAGCTGGGCAACCGCTCCACCCGAATGTTCTTCGCTGCTGGCACAGCACGAGCCATCGATTTTGATGATATGTGCCATGTGTTCTGGGAGAAGCTCACAGACAGTGGCCTTGCAGCTCACAAGCGTCAGAGGGGTTCTTTGTGTACTGTGGGCTGCCTTTTGGCCCGTTCTTTGCTTACACGCAACTTATCCTAGACCAGAATGCTGTCGAACTAGGTAAGTATGTCCCCTTCGCAGAGGCGTTTCACCATTTTAAGGTTTATGGGTTTTAAAGTTGAGGGTTGAGGGCCATGTGGTCTAACGAGCGCATGAACTCACTGCTGTCGAGTTCCCCGGCAGCCTTCCAAGTCCGTGCTCAAAAGGGTTTAGGGTACATCCCAGACTACAATCCCCATATGAGTTACTGTCAAGATTAGCCCTATTAAGGGAGTCCTTCTTGTAGTTGATTAGTAGAGCCCATAGTGTCGTCCCTCATAAGGAACCCATGTCCATTAATTATCTGGGTAACGTTGACTTTTGCTCATATATCTCAGTACCCCGAAGGGTACCGGTATTCCAAGAAACTTCCAATGTATTCGCGCGAGAATCACTGCTGAGGCTGAAGGATCCTCTCGACTTCCCTGGTCGCTTCAAGGACTTTATTTGTGGCTTGTAGAGAGAACCCTAGAAGTGGGAGTTTCCCAAAAAGGGGAGCCCTGGGGGACCTGAGAAAAATATGCGCATAGGGCCTTGAAGGGAGGTTGCAGGGTCCCCATAAGCATAGAAGGGACAACGATGATGTTGAGAAACTTCCAAAGGATATTCACAAGGTTCGAGGGCCGGAGTTTAAGTTTTTACCGTGGATTCATTGAGGGTGCAGTAGGACCCTTCACAGTACCTCGTCGAATCAGCTTTGCTCTTGACCCATGTATTGGTCCAGAACTTCTGATGGACAGCCCCAAGTTTTGCCGAACTTTCGGGGCGTGGTCCTTGATTTTTCATAAGTTACGGCACCACAAAAAGCTCTGCCCTCATGCTTCGGGCGCCGCAGGGTATTGGATGCGTCACGTGTGCGCTGCCCGGGCTGACATTGCTACTGTAGGGCTTCGAGGCATCGTACTCTGCAAGCCTCTTCTTGGTTATCCTTATCCTTCCAGTACATTCTAGACCTGCGCAGGATGCGCAGTGCAAGACGGTGATACAGGGCATGCTCAACCGGCAGCCGAAGAAGCGGCTGGGAGCAGGCGAGGAAGGGCCTTTGAAGTCCTCGACTCCTGCATATATGCACATGTGAATCCCGTGTACTCCCGCATCTTGACGAGGTGCACCAGATTACTAGACATGACCATAAGGCATGCTGGAGCTTAGCATAGAGAGCCTAGAATCATTTTACCGTCCCCATTATGCGCTTGGTGGGTCTATTTTGAAGCCTAGGTATGGTCTAGACCCCACTAGGAGACTAAGCACGCGGATCAAACAGGATTTGCAGTACAGGGCATGGTCTGCAAATTTGGGAAAGTCAAAAAATAGCAACAGCTACTAGGACATGACAACGCAATTCCTACTTGGGCCCCTGTCGTGTTTGCCTGTGGATTTAGTGTACGGTGCATGAGCCAAGTGCGGCGCTTCAGACAATTGATAAAGACGTAGTAAGTAGAGCCGACCCAGTCCCTAAAATCAAGTCTGACTGAGCTTGCGTTGCAGGCCTCAATGGTTGGGAAGACATCAGGACACCCCGGGCGAATTCAAGGGTATTCTTTGGGTTTGCCCCCACCCATTAACAGCTAGTTAAGAATTACAGCTTAGTCATATAGCCCTGGATGATGACCTCATTACAGATAGTTACTAGGTGGGAGCTGTGCCCAAGGTATAGAGCCGGGGTGACTTGGGTGAAGCCCAAGAAGTTCAGGGCCAAGCATCAATCTGGGGGTTTCCAGAAAGCGGACGCTCCAAAACAGACCCGAACACAAGCACACCCCCCCCCCAAAAAAAAGAGGAGCCTTACAGTTCTGGACAGCCTCAACTTGGGAATTCAGATCAGGATGATTTCCGTGCAGTTTTCCGTCAGTGCTGGTCGCTGGGGTGTGCACTGGTGTGCTCATTATCATGTAGAGGGTAGTGTAGCGGCTTTTGTGGATCCATCGAACGTTTTTGTTGCAGTAGACGTGCCACGACGTACACGAGACGCCATCCTCCATAGAGAGCAAATCCCACACCGGGTCAAGATCTTGAAGCGCCAACCTCTCCGCATGCAAGATGTGAAAAGCGCTCAACTTTGCCCGTGGCACGGCTGGTGTCCAGCATCAGCCAGCCAATGCTGCGAATGGCAGTCTGCATGGCATGATGGGTGCCGTCAACCTGGCATTTGCCATGACTGTGTGGGTTTTTTTGAACAACTAGACGACAGGTTATGATCTACAGTTGACAAAGCGCTCAGTAAAGCATCATCCTGAACCACGCTATCAAAATCATAGTTTGGGACAAGCGCCATGTCAGGAAAGGTCTCACCCAGGCTGAGTTTCTGGTGTGCAATCCTTGTCAGGAATGCGGAATTCTTCACCCAGGGCCATAGCTCCACGACCCTGCCCCTTGGTCATCGATCTAGTATAGTTGCTTCATTTGGCCATGTGTAGAAGGCAGTTTCTCGCAGGTGCTGGCATGTCCGCTGAAACAGGTGGCATGTGCACAGTATTTCTCATGCAAGCAACCGACATTTTTTATCAGAAGCACGTTCACGAGACGCGCATTGCTTCATCTCCATGCGCAGTTCCGCGTGATTACTGGTTCAGGTTTGACAAGATCATGGGCAGAGAGCTGGAATCACCCGTTGTGCCCAAGGCATGGGCTTGCAGAAACGGGTATTTCCAGGGAAGGGGATCCTGCTTTGATACGCGACAATGTTATAAGCCTTTTTCAAGCAGCCTCCCCAAGACGGGACCTGCAGCTGTAAACCCCAGATGGGGTTGCAGCTTATTATCCCAAACAAAGTATGTACTGCAGGGACCTAAATAATTAGACCAAGGTCTTTTGTTGAAATTCTGCTGTAGTACTATCCGGATTACTCCCTAGGCTTCTCATGATGGCTCAAGTGTGGAAATTGTGAATGCAAGCATCCAAGCATAAGATGGTTTCTGGATGAGTCCCTTCCCAGGGTTTTGCTTCTTGTAGGTTCTGTCCTATCTTATATATTGATGCCAAGACCTGTGCCCGAAGGGCATGGCACAAGAAGACCCGGTAAAAGCATCCCGAAAGACTTGCATGTTTATTTGGCACCGTGCACACTCGATCAGTGTCGCATGGAACTCTGATCTCTCGATGCTCCGTCTGCATCCCCCGGAATGCTGAGAGACGATGTTGGTGATTTGGGACCAGGATGCTCGGCCTGAAGGTCTTTAACGCTAAGATCCAAAACATGGTGGTGATGCAGGGGGTGGGGTGCTGGTGATGATGATGATGATGATGATGATGATGTCCACTGCTGCCGCAGCGACCGCTGCTACTGATGCTACTGCTGCCACTATTGTCGCAAGTACTGCTATGACGACACGCATCAACCAGACGGATAAAAGTCATGGCCAGACAAAGGGTTGAAACAGTACCACAGATAAAGATAGTCACCGCCTCGCAGGGTGAGACCTACTGCGAGCCGTCGGAGATCGACTTTTCCCTCAGCGACGACAATGAGCTTGGCTAAGCCTTGCCTCTACCGAGCCTCCCCCATAGGCTCTCGAATTTCGGGTCAGTTTTTGGGATTCAGATTCAGGAAAGAAGACTTGGTGTGAAGGTTGTAGAACCCCACAGACGTCCTTTTTGGGGGACTCAATAAACAAGTGGTAATCTCTTGCGCGCTTTGAAGGAGTTTTCAGAGGGCGCGCCTCAAAACCACGCCCCCAATCCGACCAATCTTAAGACAATCATGTGACGGGGGAACCCCAGGCTGTAATCACCTCCCCACATTTCGAACACCCGACCCAATTCTACACTACCATGGTAAGATATTGTACCAGACACAAGAGATCATTATCATGAGGACCCGGAAGCCGTGCCGTGGGGCAGGTGTGGCTGATGCGCACAGGCAGGACAAAGCCAATTGAGTCATACTTTCGAGAACAAAAAGCTTAGAGGTTAGGACCCCGAGTGATTCGCATTTCAACAGGGGATACTTTAGTAGCTAGTTTTCAATCAAATCATACTCTCTTTAATGTTGTAGGGTCTCTGAAGGATACATCTCACTTGGTCCAGCAACCAAAAGACGCTACTCAGTTGGGTGTTGAGTACATCAAGTGAGAATTGTATGCGGCTTGTCAGTTCCCATCCTCTCACACTCTCATCATCAGAGTCACTGGTTCAACCTGTTTTAAGTCCTGCCCTCCATTGCGCGCCAGCCCTCTAGTGCAAATGCAGCTGAAAATACCAGCACAGATCGCATAGTTTCACCGCTGGGGAGTCATCCTACACCTCCTAGACACCGCACGGGATGTGCAGAATGCTCAGTTGTCCATTCCACGCGATACCCGGCAGTGCACTGGGCAATGGGGTGCTCTTGCAAGTAGTCTGCCCAGTGGTGCCCCCGGTGGAGCTGGGTTCTACATGTAAATGCGCAGGTGCTCGCATGATGAGGTTGTTCTGGTCCAAATACAGTGCAAGGGTAGGCTGGCTTTGGTTGCTTGGCATCCTTACTGCGTGGAGCGGAGGTGCAGAGGCTAGGGACCCAGCAAATGTTTGACTTGCACTCCTTGATGGAGAAAGGCCATCACGTTCGGGAGGTCCGATGGCGGGGCAGCACTACACCGTCACACAGTTTCGCATGTCAGGTCAGGCCCTTGAGACAGGCCTCTTTGACCTACTGCTGCCCCGCCGTCGAGGGCTCTTCACGAACTCTGCGTTCAGGGTTTGATGTGTTTCCTCCTGGCGAGGAGGCTCCGTGGATTGCACATTGGCAGCTTGCCACCCGCTATGTGCAACGGAGCCAATCATGCCCTGCGAAGTGGCTCGCTTTCAGGATGTCTAAGCTAGTCTAAGATTGCAGTGTCCGTGCGGTGGTGCACAGTCTTGAATGTGGTCGTGTGCCTGAAGGAACCTCGCAGATCAAGCCTTCAGGACCAGCCCCTCAGAGGCCTTTGGCAGGAGCAGGAACTCTCTGGATGTAATTACAGGCGGGGTTGAAGAAAAGCTTCGGCAGAAGGGGTCCACTGAAGAATCCTAAAGCCCTGAAAGGATCCAGCTTTGCAGCGCTCTCAAGTGCACTGACTTCTTTCTGGCTGCATTTAGCGCGTGGCGAACTCGAGTTTGTGATGTTCTGCATAGGCAGGGAGACGTCATCACGAGCTGAAGCCTGCAGCCTCATCAGCAGGCAGCAAAAGTCGTGGTAGAATGTGAGAAGAAGTAGTGGTGGTAGTCCTAGTACGTGGAGGAGGTCCAGCAACTATGTCCCCTTGAAAAATAAAGGCTGAGCCAATTGTCATTTCCGTTGAATGCTAACTGCTTTTGTATGTTTAGAACTATGGGGAGCTCTCCGTGAGTGGTGGGAGCCAGGCTGGGTAGATGAGGTGGGGGAGGCATGAGGGTTGGGCACAATGTCGCACATTCGAAATGCGAATATGCAGAAAGGGCTGCTCTACAGCATTTGTCACGCCTTTGCGCGTTTCAAGCCGGCATCCGTTCGGGCATGGTAGGGGGTGAGCAGCAGCATTCGCAGTAGCATGAGCAGTAGCCGTAACAGTAGCAGTCATAGCAGAAGTAGCAGGAGGAGGAGGAGAGTAGTAGTCATTAAGCCTTTCCGGCAAGCATGTGATACAGGTCCGGCTGCGTTCGAGTTCCCATCTTCTATATGCAGCTGGCAAGACAATGCGGTGAACCTGCGAATCCAAGACGCCTCTGTCCAGAAATGGGAGCTTCCGAAAACTGAGGGGCCCTTTTCTCAGACAGGGAATTCCCGTACTTTGGGTGTACCTTTGGGGCCCCCTCATTTTCGGAAGCCTCAGAACTTGTCATTGGCTGGACTATCAACATCCAGCACGCATACCGAACCAAACAAGTTTGGCCAGGGGCCGTCTGCTTGCATCATAGAGCACTACCCCCCAATTCAGCTTCATCTGCAGGCCTTCGCATCCTGCGCTAAAGTTACCATGAAGGTTTGGCAGGCCATGCGCACTGAGGGTCATGTTGAGGTTTTATCTTTCTTGCAGGGCTGTGGTGAGATCTGCGGTCTGGGGTTTGTTGCGCATTTCTTGGTCAGCCGTTAGTGTCCTGATCTGTGCAGCAGGCAACAACGTGGGATCATGTGTGGCCAGT